GGTCACGTGGTAAGGAAGGAGTGTATTCATGTGGATCCTTCCAAGATTAAAGCAATAGATAATTGGTTGGCACCAAAGACACCCACAGAAATCCGTCAATTCTTGGGTCTCGCCGACTATTATCGAAGATTCATCCATAATTTTTCCAAAATCGCCAAACCCCTAACCACTCTAACATAGAAAGGTGTACCCTTTTATTGGAGTGAAAAGCAAGAATCAGCATTCCAGACATTAAAGCAAGCCTTGTGCAGCGCACCAGTTCTGTCCCTACCGGAAGGGATAGAAGACTTCGTTATTTATTGCGATGTGTCTAATGAGGGCTTATCCTGTGTGCTTATGCAAATAGGAAAAGTAATTACTTATGCCTCAAGACAGCTAAAAACACATGAGGTCAACTATACCACGCACGACTTGGAGTTAGGAGCCATAGTATTTTCACTGAAGATTTGGAGACATTATCTCTACGGAACCAAGTGTACGATCTTTACTGACCATAAGAGCATGCAACACACATCCTCAATCAGAAAGACCTAAACATGAGGCAACGGCGATGGGTAGAGTTACTCAGTGATTATGAGTGTGAAATTCGCTACCATCCCGGCAAGGCCAATGTGGTAGCGGATGCCCATTGCCGAAAGGAAGGTTCAAGCCGTAAAGTGAGGACACTGATAATGACTATCCATTCCCATTTTATCCATGCAAATCCGAGATGCCCAGATAGAAGCCCTCAAACCCGAGAACAAATCAAACAAAGCCTTGAGGGGAATGGACAAGAAACTTGAGATCAGAGGTGATGGAGTCTACTGTTTCATGGATCGAATCTAGACCCCAAAGTTCAGAGGATTTAGGGAAGTTGTCATGGAGGAAGCACACAAGACCAGATACTCTGTTCACCCGAGTTCGGATAAGATGTACCTAGATCTCAAGAAACAATACTGGTGGCCCAACATGAAAGCCGAGATCACTACGTTTGTGGGCAAGTATATGACTTGCGCCAAAGTGAAAGTCGAGTACCAGAAAACCTCAGGTCTACTCCAGCAACCCGAGATACTCGAGTGGAAATGGGAGATGATTACCATGGATTTCATCACCAAATTACCAAAATATCCGAGTGGGTACGATACCATTTGGGTAATTGTCGATCGTTTGACAAAATCCGCTCACTTCATCCCGATTAAAGAACCACTTAAGATGGAAAGACTCGCACGGATCTACATCCAAGAGGTTGTTCGACTGCATGGTGTACCTGTGTCCATTATCTTTGATCGAGATAATAGGTTTATCTCCAGATTTTGGCAGTCTCTTAAAAGGATCTTAGAACTAAACTAAATATGAGCACCACTTATAATCCTCAGACCGACGGACAGAGTGAGAGAAGTATCCAAACCCTGGAAGACATGCTTAGGGCATGCGTCATCGATTTCAGAAAGTCATGGGACACATATTTTCCTTTGATCGAGTTCTCGTACAACAACAGTTACCACACCAGTATCAAAGTTGATCCGTTTGAAGCCCTCTACGGTTGCAAGTGCAGATGCCCTCTGTGCTGGGCCGAGGTAGGGGACACGCAGCTAGCCAAGAGTTGATTCGCCGACAATGCTCTCATTGGTCCTGAAATTATCCAAGAAACCACTGAAAATATCATCCAAATCCGGGAACGATTGAAAGTTTCACGAGATAGATAGAAGAGTTATGCCGACCTACAAAGAAAACCTATGGAGTTCCAGGTTGGAGACCGTGTCCTGTTAAAGGTCTCACCCTGGAAAGGCATGGTATGCTTTGGAAAGCATGGGAAACTTAATCCGAGGTACATTGGACCCTTCGAGATCCTCGCCAGGATCGGTCTGGTAGCCTATTAACTTCGATTACCTCATGAGCTTAGCAACATTCATCCCGTCTTCCACGTGTAAAACCTTAAAAAGTGTCTATCCGATGAAACCCTCGTGATTCCTCTTGATGAGACCGAGATCAACGAGAACTTAAAATTCATGGAGGAGCCAATTGAAATCATGGATCTAGAGATCAAATGCACGAAACAAAGTCGCATCCCGATAGTGAAGGTTCGCTGGAATGCCAAGAAGGGACTGGAATTCACTTGGGAGCGCGAAGAATCGATGAAGCAGAAGTATCCACATCTCTTTCCAAATCCATGATTTGTATCTTAATTCTGAATTTCGGGACGAAATTCCCTCTAATGGGGGGATAATGTGACAACCTGTAATTTATTCTGTTACTAAAACCATTCCCGTCAAATAAAACCGTCGTATTAATTTCGTTCCGTTAACTTTTGCGTTAAATTAATCTAATTTTATCGTGACATTTATTTTGATTTCGTAAATGTCGGAATGTGTTATAATCATTAAAATATTTTCCATATTTGTTTGGAAAATTCTTATTTTCATGTAAATCGTAATTACGGCAAACTTATCGGGTTCGACTAAAAGCACCATCTAACGGTAGTATCGGGTAGAATTCCTCCGGGCCACAAACTCAACCCCTATATAAGGGATTGAGTGACATCATTTTAAGGCTTTTACTCTCTCTCTCTCTCTCTCTCTCTAAAAACTTTGTCTCACTACTCTCTCTCTAAAATCCGAAACTTAGCCAAAATCATCCAAAACAAGCTCCAAATCACTAGGGTAACTTCCCTAAGTCATGAATTCGCATCTTAGACCTTCAAATTCGTGATTATATGAGGAATGGGACCATAAACAAGTGCTTACAGTCTAGGAACCTCCTTAGTCTGTGAACACCTCATATGAGGGTTTTGAAGACTCAAAACCCCTCCAAAACACTTCTAGGGCTTAGATTCGGCCTAAAAACTTGTATGCATGAGCTTAGGACCCCAAAATCGTATCATATGATGTATGGACATGATTTTATGGCCCAAGCATATTCTTGGACCGTAAACCCTCATTCATGGACCATAAACTCATGTTAATGAGTCAAAATGCCCTTAAACACCTTCAAAATGCTTCCATGGGAGTGTAGAAGCTCATAAACCTTCATGTGATGCACCAAATCATCATCAAATGGGATAAAATTGAGTTTATGGCAAAAGAACATTCTTGGACCGTAAACTCACCCCCCTTAGGCCGTAAACACATCCCAAAGTGTGTTAAGGTGCCTTTAACCCCTTGAATAGCTTAGTTTTGGACCTAGAATCACATATGATTGAATTACAACCACCAAAGCCCTAGATTCATGGACAAACATTAGTTTACAGTTGTAAAATAATAAGTTCAAGGTAGTAAACTCCCCAAGAACATCTCCTTAGACCGTAAACTAATTTCCCAAGGCCATTTCAAGTCCCGATCACTTCCTAAGCCATAGGATCGGCCCTAGAACCTTCCTGTGTGCATTGTATGACCATTTGGCATCCAAGAATCCACCACCCATGAGTTTACAGCCGTAAACTCATGGGGATATGGTAAATGGACCATAAATTCCTCCAAGAGTTTACTTTTGAAGAGTAAACTCCATATCTAGGTCCTATTCATCCATAGATGTCACCCGAGTCACTCCGAATACTTGTATTGAAGTGTTTTCACATCTTGGAGTGGATATTCATGTCTAATTAGTGGTTAAAAGTCTAATTAGATACAATTGTATATCATTTCATATTACATAGGAACCTCGCGCGTAATCAAGCCCTAAACCGTCACATAGCATCCAAACTGTCGCGTTTTCTCGTCTGGTGAGTTCATACCCCTACCCATTTTCAATGTTTTCACTGTTTTCAGGGGGGATTACAAGCAAAGTACAAGTGATTCTTGTACTCATAACTGTTTTACATACATTTTGTTTCATATTATATATGCTTTTAACACTGACAGTCGTAATAAACAACCGTTTGAACTTACAGGACACATTATCATGTTATTTGTGAATTACATTATAAATTGTTGTATTTATATTTTTCACAAATGTTTTCCCACATTATAACAGTTAAAAGCATAACATTTGAACATGGTTTTGTCCTCGGTAACACTCCACAGAGATACGCGAGTGGAGGATAGTCATTTGATCTTCAGTATTATTACTTGTAAATTTGTTGATCCTATAATTGGAGAAACGTCCTCGGTGAACACTCCACAGAGATACGTGAGTGGAGGACCACCTCTATAACCAGAATCTCTTAGATAGGGAGCGTGACTTGAGTGTATAGATCTATACGGGGCTGACTACCCGCACCTGGCTGCTAGCTACAGCCGAACCGAAAGGTTCAAGGGTGACGAAAGTCATATAGGGTGATGGACTATTTATTGCCCTAATTAGTCTATTGTACGGTTATGGAACTCGCAATTTGGATAATAGAGATTTACATAATAGTAATAATAGGTTAAATAAACAGTTTACTTGGTATATGTTAGTTTTATAAACGTGTTAAAACTAATACATTTTTCAGAGTACATCTTTTACATTGCATTTTGGGTTGGTGAACTAACACACACACATTACAAGGATAACCAGGTTTTCAGTATACATCTTTCACATTAGGAAAATATGGGACTTTCCTGGGATAACAGTTAAACATAACCAGAACCGTGTAACCTAACAGTTAATCAAACATTACTTTTAAGAAAATATGGGATTTTCTTGGGTTGTAACATTTTAAGAAACAAAAAGGAAAACTCGTACATTTTCACAAAACAAAACCACTTATGAACTCACCAGCTTTATGCTGATTTTTAAAATGCTTGTATTCTCAGGTCCGTATTAGATAGGTACCGGACGATCCATTTTGGCGCAGACAAAGTGCGTAGAAGACACGTCTTACTTTTGTTCATATATACTATGTATCACACTTGTACAACTTACTTTTGAACAAATGTAAACTTTTGTATGTAATGTAATGGTTGTTTACTTTACTTACTATGTGCATTGGATTTGATACTCAACATGGAGTCTGACCCGTAAATGTTTCCGCCTTTGTTTTTTAGGGTGTGACAATTAACAAAAGGGACTTCAACTTCCAGTTCCACTCATGTAGAAAGGGAATGGAACTCATGAAGAAGCAAGTAGCCCAGTGGTATTCTCATCAAAAGGGGATACAAGTCCTCTTCAAAAGCTTCAGAATCAAGTTTTCAGAGCACTGAAAGGTTTATCTCCTCCTTCTGAAGATAAAAGCAGAACTTACAATCCAGAAGTATTAACTAGCCAAAAACGTCAATGGGCAAGCTTTTAGTTGGATGCCCTGGTATGTAAATATGTAATATCTTTCTTTTTTTATTTTTCTTTTTCTCTACTCATATCTTTCAGTCATGAATCTTGAATTCTTGATGATTGTTTATCATTTCCAAATCTTTTAGCATCAAAGGATATTGAAAGAACCTTTTAGGCTATTTGAGAGCATGGTAGTGGTTGGATTGCATCCAAATTGTGACATTCAGGCACTTTAGAGGCAATATTTTGATAGAAGATGATAAACTGATAAACATCACTCTATGTTTACAAGAAACAAAACATCATAAACTGATAAACATCACTGTATTTTTACATTACAGGTTGTCCAGATCATAGAGGATATGGTTGAGAAAGGTTCTGAGATGATGGATGTGAGGAACAAAGATGAGGTTCTTCTAAGGATGAAAGCTGTTGTTGCTAGCAAACAATATGGATAGGAAGATATTTTGTGCCCTCTTATTGCAGATGTACTACTTGTCTGTTCTTTTCTTGTTAAATGGGTATCATTCATTAGGTCAAGTTATAAGGATGACTGATTTTTTTATTTTTATTTATTTATTTATTTATTTTTTGCATTTCAGGCATGCATACAAGTTTACCTACAAAACCCGATGAATTATATTGACAATGTGAGAGTTGAAAAACTTGTAAGGGGAGGTTAACATATCAGTTGGTCCCTAGTTGCAAAAGTTTAACAAATCAGTAAATGAGAGTTTGAGGGTGCAACAACAAACCCTATATAAATTGCCAAAAAGAAAGTTTGTTGCTTCTTATGAACAATAGGGATTTTACCATCAATTGGTCCCCAGTTCTCATCACCTTCATCACTAACTACCTTCTTTCGTGGAACTTCCTCCTTTTTGGCCACTGGTTGTGATCGCCTGTAAACAAACATACATCTTTAAAAGGAATTCAACAAACCCCGGGTGTATCATCATGATCAGAAATTTTAATGCTAAATATATCTTAAAATCTAATATTAGAATAAATTTAAGATTCAAGACACATTTGTGGGCATATCTAAAGTGGATTCAAGTGACTGGTCTAGAAGAATTCCAAATCAGACCATGTGCAAATGCAAGCTCTATGGGAAGCCAATATTCAAACCTATACATACATCCAATTTAAAACTGAAGATGCTTTGACCATTTTGATTACCAAACTAAAACAATGTTATGGAATCTGATTTGGAACCAGATAACAATTTCTTGGATCCAAGAATCTCAGAATTATTTTGACAGTTAGTATTTAGGAAGACTTTTTTCTAGCTGTTATAAAAGGATGCTGCTTAGATTCATGTATCATTATAATTTATCAGAATAATGTAAAATCCTAGCAACAAATGCACATGTAGACAAATTCCTGAGGGGGTATCTTTTAAATTGATTCTTTAATAAAAAATAAAACAAACTACTTGATTGTTTATGGATTTTTACTTTTTTAGGTGCGCAAAGTACTCACACAGATATTCTCGTTCATCAACGTTTAGCTATTCAACAGGTAAATTGCATAAAATATGTTTATATTGTATATCAACTTTTTTTTAATAAAAATGTTGATGATTATATATTTTTTTGGTGGAAGTTTTTTGTTGAGATGTGAGTGTTGCTTGTTTAGTAATGGTGAATATGTGAAGTGAGGATTGGTTGAATTAGAACAATGGTGTTTTTATGCAACTGAGGAAGTAAGAACTTTTATATCTTTATATATTTTTAAAAAATTGATTTTGTAGTAAATAATATTTGATTTATTTATAGTATGCAGGGACCGCATGGGATGAGTTGAAGCATATCAGACAAGCAGTTGGATTCTTGGTTGTACACCAAAAGCCCAAGAAGACTTTGAATGAAATTACCAATGAACTTTGTGCTATAAGCATATTTATGTTAATAGTAATAAATATTTTAATTCCGTTTTTCTCTTTTATTATATTCAATATTGTGCATTTTTATCATTTATGCAGGTGCTTAACATGCAACAACTATACAAAATCAGCACCATGTATTAGGATGACAAATACGGGACCGACAGTGTTTCATCAGAAGTAAGTTACTACTCACATATCAAATATGAATTCCATCTCATAAAACACTTAAATCCTAAGGGCAATTTCATAATTAGGTCATTTCAAATATGAGAGTCATGATGAAAGAGGACTCAAACAATGCAGTCAGCAGCTCATTCTTGTTAGATGACGACTCCAGTTAAATATCTCAAGACTTGAAAAAAATCTTTGCAGGGGCAAAATCATCTAAAATGGGGATATTTATTTGTGTATGATGCAACATACCGTTCTTTGTGGATGACATCTAAAAGTCTATGCCACAAGTAAACATAAGAGAGATTGAACCTCCACCTTTGATACAAGAAAATTCAGGTTTTGTGTTTTTACATCAAAGGGCAGAATGATTGATGTCATAGTATAGAATATCTCTATTCAGACATGTGTATACAGAATTATAGTAAGTTTTTATTTTTTATTTTTTTGGTGTGTTGATACTCTTTTTTTTTGTTGTTTTTTTTATTCCTAGACAATTTGGGTTTTCTATTATTAGTGTCTGGGGTCCAATTTATTTTTTTGGTTTCCTTTGATCCTTTTGGGGTGGGGTTAATAGGGGTAATTTATAGATTTTTTAGATGATGATATGGCAATGTTGCCAAAAGTGTGTTTTAAATGGGAGGGTGGATTAAGGTTTCTTATAATTGCAAATTGTTGGGTTACAATTGTGGTAGTGGTTGATCTGGACACTCATTACACACATGTTAGGTTTCATTCTTTTATACCATATCATATGATGATGATGCTTATATTATCCATTATCCAATCCTACATACAGTTTGAATCTCACCTCATGTATCTATGCAGGAATATCTTGAAAAACATATTGGAGTTAAAACAAGAAGACATGTATTATATCAGGGATATGTGGAAGGGATATCAGCTACTGGGATGCAGTCAAATCATGGGTTTGATGGCCAGGTCAACGCCTGTTGGACACACAGAATTTCTAAAAAAGAAGTAGAAGTGATTGTGAACAATGGTTTGTTGATATCAGTCCTTCATGGGAGGTGTGATCTGATTGCTCAAATATCTCATGAAAAAGGCTTGCACATAGACTTTATCCACTTGCAAAAATGGTAGAGCTTGTAGGAGGTCATCTTGTGAGTCATGAGAGGAGTAAAGAGGTGAATGAAGCTCTACCAGATTTGATCAGAGCATCAGTGTCCAAGATAAGACCATTTGACTGGCCTAATTTATCCCCAAATCCAAACACCTCTACCTCTAGTAAGTATTACTACAGTTAGGCAGGCTATTGCCTTTCAAAAGATAATTAATGAATATGAAGAATAGAATGTTGTTTTTATTCTCAGGCTCAGGCTGTTGGACATCATCATCTGGCACTAGCAGCAGATTAAATTCAGAGACAGACAACACCAATTCTGGGATTGCAGAAACCAATTAAGGTATTATGTAAACAAGAAACAACACTTCAGAATAGTTATACTATACAGATTCATGGAAGAAGAGATATATCCAAACTAAACCTAATTTATGAGATTAACTTTGTAGGGAAAGCAGGGCAGTAGACACTGAATCACTTTGTGTCATTTCGAATGGATCTACAGGATCAAGAAATAATGTCTCGAGCTACAGGGACACAGGTTTGTTTGTTTAGAGTTATAGTGCTAATTTATGTACCTTTTATCTGAAATAATTACAATTTCTTTTAGACACGCATGGGTGACTATCTCAAAGATGTGGCATTCAGTCATATCCAAAAGATTACAGATACAACAGCTAAATCGGGACATGAAGTTGCACTCTATCCTCAAGAAACAAGTTAGAATGTCAATTCACTTCATTTTCACTTTCATTTTGTTATTGATTTTCCTTTATTTTTAATACAAAATATTGTACTTAATTCTGATTGTAGGTTTTTAACAAATGGAGATTCCATATTTGGATGAATGGGTTCAAAAGGAAAAGGATCAATCCATCTCCTTAGGTGGGGTTGTTAAGGATATGGATCAGATTTATGTAGAAAGAAATTAATTGTAGAAAGATTCTTGGTATGCTTAAGTTTTCTTATGGAGCAGATTTATGAAGAAAGAAATTAATTGTTCTTTTTTTGGTTGGAAATGTCGAATCTGATTACAATTTTGATTTAAGGTGTTATTTAATAGCAATGTAGTATTAGGTTATATAGATACAATCATAACCGATAAAAAATTGATTTAGTTAGTTTCTACTTTCTAGTAGTGATAATAGGTTTCCATGATGGCATGAAAGTTGTATTAAGTATTTGCATTCTTATTATATTATACCCCTTACATTTTCCCAAATTACCCCTTCCTCTACAATGTTTTTTTTCTATGTATTTTGTGCATCAGGTAAATTTGATGGAAGAAAGGAATATGAAGCCACTTGATTTCAATCTTGCAGCATTATCAGCAAAACGCAGTAAAGACTTGGAGTTGAATTTGGCTAAGTCATTATTAAATGAGATGAGCCAATGCACAACTACTTATCCATATAATCAGCTGTTTGGAGCATTAGTCTTAAAGAATTATGAAAGGCAAGATGCAACTTTACTTATTTGGAATTTGATGTACATAGTAGATTAGATGAAAATTTATATATTATAAGAAATAGAATTGTATGACATTAAATTTATGCAATGGATTCTATTTTTTGTATTTGATATTTTATTTTCTATTATGAAATATTAAATACAAATTTAATTTGAAAATAAGTAAATCTATAAATAATATTTTTTTTAAACATTTAAAATTATCATATGCAAAAATGTGTGTCATCTTCATTTATGACATGACCATTCTTGATACGCATTGCGTGTCATTAACACGCACGTCGTAAGGTTACGACACGTGAATGCGTGTCGACTTCCTTTATGACAGGGCCTTCCTTGATACGCATTGCGTGTCGTAAACGCAGGTCGTAATTGCGCGTCGTAAATGAGTGTCGTAAATGCGCGTCGTCTCTCTTTATGACAGGGCATTCCTTGATGCACATTTGCACGTCGTCTGAGCCTTTTACGACGTGCAATGAGCATCGTAAAAGGCCGTTTTTCTAGTAGTGAATCCCAATAAGTTTATCAAAAGAAGTTTCCCAGCCAATAAGAACCGAAACTGACAGGGAAGCTACAGTGCTGAGAAGGTGAAGGAGGAACCAAAGAGTGTCTATCAGACCGAAGAAACAAAGAAGCAAGCTAAAGTTGGTGGTGACTAAGGTTTTAATTGTCACTACTATAGAGGCAAAAACCACTTTACTAAAGATTGTATGTTGAGAAAAAGTCTGAAAAGAATGATGAAGATGACGAGGAAGCGAATCTCATACGACGGTTGGAGGAAATTAGGAAGATGAAAGCTGGAAATAATAACACTATGAATGCTCTAACTGTGCAGGGAAAAACTGTTGATGATGAATTTGGTGGTGTTGAAGTTTGGTCAACTGATTCTGAAGATGAAGAAGTGTGACAACTCGATGTTCGTTCCATCATCGTAACCCGATACGTCATTAAAAATTCGTCGTCATAAAATTGTTTCCATTCCTTTAAGTCATTAATGTTAAGTTTATTATTATGACTTAATAGTTGTCCAAATACATTGGAAATCCATGGAAACGCCCCTATTTATTATTTGGAAAAATAATTGTTTCATTCCATCAAGTTATAAAAAATAATTAAACCGGGTACGACCAAAAGCCTCACTTGGTGGCAGTATCGGGTAGAATTCCACTGTGTCCCAAACTTTCAGCATATATAAAGTAGAGAGCCTCATTTGAATCCTTTCCACACTCTCTCTCTCTACTTTCTATCTCTAAAACTTGAAATTAAGCCAAAATCATCCAAATCAAGCACTAAATCATCAAGGTAACTATCCTAGCTCCTAGTAAAACACTTTTGACCTTCAAATTCGTGAATTATATGAGGAATGAGACCATAAACAAGTGTTTACGGTCTTGGGAACTCCTTAGACCGTGAACACATGACAAAGGGGAGTTTTGTGCCATAAAACCCTTCCAAACCTCATCTGGAGCTTAGATATGACTTAAAGACCTAGTTGCATGTACTTAGAACACTTTAAACTCATCGTTTGGGGCATGAACATGAGTTTATGGACCAAGCACATGCTTGGACCATAAATACCAATACATGAGTAGTAAACTCATTTTAAGGTGTTAGTTTGCCCCTAAAAACCTCCAGCAAGCTTCCATGAGAGTATAGAACATGATAACCCTTCAAGAAATGCTCCAAAGCTTGTGCAAAGGGGGAAAGCTTGAGTTTACAGCCCAAGAACATTCTTGGACCGTAAACTCATCTCCTTAGACCTCAAACTCATGTTTATGTGTTAAGATGCCACTTAAACACACCTTGATCCTTAGACTCATGGGGAATGGGTCATTAGGGCTGTAAACCCTCTTGTGAGTTTACTCCTGAGGGGTAAACTCCATATCCAAGCGTTATACGTCCCTAGATGTCACCCGGGTCACTCCAAACACTTGATTCGAAGTGTTTTCGCATCTTGGAGTGTATAATCATATCTAATTAGTGATTTAATGTCTAATTAGATACCATTGTATATCATTTCACATTAGATAGGAACCTCGTGTGTTTTCAAGCCTTGAACTGACGTTTAGCATCCAAACCGACACATTCTGCGATTGGTGAGTTCATACCCCTACCATTTTTCCCATGTTTTTCAAGGTGGGGGGGGGGGGAATACAAGCAAAAGTACAAGGAAATATTGTACATAAACTTATCATTTTCTGTTAAAATGTTTCATATTACATATACTTTTAATACCAAAAATCGTACTAACCATTGTTTCAAATTGCAGAGTAAATTGTCAAACTAAATGTAGATTCCTTTAAAAGATATTATAATCTAAGTTTCATATTATGTTTTGAATAAGGAGTCATACTAATCATAAACTAAGATTAATACGAATACGAATAGGAATAGAATAGATATACGAATATGAATACTAATACGAATACAAATACGAATACGAATACGAATAGAATAGATATACGAATACGAATACTAATACGAATACAGATATGAATACGAATACGAATAGAATAGATATACGAATATGAATACAAATACGAATATGGATACGAATACAAATACGAATATGAATACGAATACGAATACGAATACGAATACGAATACAAATACAAATACGAATACGAATACGAATAGGATAGATATACGAATACGAATACGAATAGGTATACGAATACGAATACGAAAGCATGCCTTTGGATGACGCCAAGACTTCAAATATACAACTAGTGTACGCCTTGAGTGTCACCAGAGTTTCGAAATTAATTATAAAGTACGCCTCTGGACATCAACTGAGTTTCGAATACATACACCTTAGGACGTCGACAGAGATTCAAAGATACGTCTAATGTACTCTTTTGGAAATCACTAGAACTTCGAAAATACTGTTAATGTACTTTTCTGAATGAATCCAAATATTCAAAAATACTTCTAAGTATAGAAGATAATCAAAAATCGAATGTAGGATACCTAAGATATCAGAATACTTAACTAATACTATAAGTATGGTAGTTACTAGTACATCAAAATCTAAACTACTAATTAAGTATCAATTGGACAGCTAAACACTCAGAAAAATATGGGATTTTCCTGGAATAACGTAACTACTTGTAAACAAATTAGGTAATGAAAGGATAATTAAACTAATAAGAAAATATGGGAGTTTTTTGGATAACAAATTTTTCAGAAAACAAAAAGGGAACTCATTCTTTTCAAAACTAAACCGCTTATGAACTCACCAGCTTTATGCTAATTTTCAAAAAGCTTGTATTCTCAGGTCAGCATTAGACAGGTACACCGCCACCTTTTGGAGAAGATGGAGCGTTAGAAGACTCGTCTTTGTTTTTGTTCATATGATATATGTATACAACAATTGTATAACATTTCTTTCAAACAAATGTAAGCAATTCTATGTAATGTAATGTTTTGTGTTTACTGTGTTACTATGTACATTGGATTTGATACTCAACGTGGAGTCCTCCCCAAAAATGTTTCCGCCTTCAGTTTTCGGGGTGTGACAAGAAGTGAGAAAGCCCACTCATGGCAGGGCTTTGTTGGTAAAAGAAGAGAATATTGCTAGAAAGGTTCTGATGGTGACCTCCAAGGCATCATAAATGAGAGGTTATACTACTAATTGGAAACTAGACAAAACGAAAGAGCGTGAACAAATGTGTTTTGCAGCAAAACCTGTCAGTGTGTAGATCAACGAATGTGATGAGTTGATCAAGAAGATACAATCTATTCATGTTTCCTTAAATATCCCCATCACAAACTATGAAAAGGATGTAAATGGATTAATATCTAAATTTTCTAGTATAAGTGGTAGTTTAACTCAAACTCGCATCACAAACTCTAACCTAACTAATCAAATC